GTTTTCTGGTCTAGTCTCACCCAGCAGTTTCTGATAACTCTGCTCATGCTGCAGAGCATACATAAATCATGAGTAAGCCCAACTATTTCCTATGATATCCTGTTCCAGGCTGACCTCCTCCCTCTGGCAAACCCTCACACACCCAGCAAACAGCAGTCCCTTCCCAAATAGCCCAAGGACCCTTCATTGAGGAAACGCAATGCTACAGAGGAAGAGTCAGATTCCAGCTTTAGATTTCCATGTAGAAAGCTGTCTCATGCACAGACAAGGTATGGAGCCAGCTAGACCAATGTGGTGTTGAGGTTTGTGTCCAGATCCTGCGCAGAGCAAAGAAATTAAATAATCAGGTCCTTTAAGAGCCCTTCAGGAGCTACCTACTTAACATATGACTGTCACAGTGGTTTTGCAACAAATCATACAGCACTAATGATCATCAAACTACTTAACCATGGAAAATTGCTTTAATGTTACCTCAATGCATTAATGAATGATCCATTAATTAATTCAAACTATTGGACATTGGCCTTGCTTTCCTGCTAGGCTAGAATGACTTCGTGCCAAATCCAAACAGGAGAGTGGCGTTTAAGCCATCTCTGAAATCATGATGGGCATGAGGACCACAGATACCTGTGGACCAGCAGCAGCCAGTGCTTATTTGCTGCAATGATGCTGAGCAAAGGAGAAAGCAGGAGGCTGCTCCAAGCTGGAAAGATCTTTGTGGTAAGAGGGAGCAGGTCCCTTTACAGATTCAAACCATCATTGCATCTCACCCAAAGGAGACCTTCAACCCTGAAGCTCCTTTGAACTGACCCTTGGCAGTCCCAGGAACTGTAAACTGCAGGTTTACAGCCACTGGCTGGCCATGCTGCTCCCGCAGGTACTGGCGCCTTGGGCACAGAGCAGAACAAGTTTCTGATGCATCACCACTGTGCTTTTTGATTTTCTAGGGTAGTCAGTAAAGTCTGGAAAGATTTTACATCCTTTCGTTCTGCAAAAGTACTAGATTATTGATTCTATGCTAAACCAAACAAAAAAAAAAAAACCTATTTGGATAGTTTATGAAGAGGCTCTTAATGTAGTAAATCACTTGATACAGGGATAAATTCACTATGGTGTCAATCACTTAACTGGCCAGTAAGCCAGTGATACCCACAAGCAATGGTTAGAAACTGCAGGTGTTTTGAACATAGCAGGAATCCATCTCCAAACAACAGCTGAGGGTTGACTAGTTACACACAGGAAAGAGTTGAGATGGGATGTTTTATACTCCATATTGAAGACAATGTCCAATGCCTGGAAGCTGAAGCTGCATGTGTTCAGCCTTAAAATATGCAGCAGTTTCCCAGCTTGGTGGGAGATTAAACACTGAAAGAACAGGGAAGTCTTTAAAATGAGATCTTTCTGAATGGCAAGATTTCATCTTCATCAAGGGAAAATGTCCTTTGCAAGTGCAGGATCATGTCAGACTTGCTGCATCCCAGGAGAAGAGCTGCACATAGCAGATGGATGGAAAGAAATCAAGTGTCACTAGAAACCCCCTGAGCAGGTTAAAAGGAGAGGCAAAATGAGTACGGAAGGGACTGAGATGTCCTGAGCTCAGACTTCCCCATCTCACACCTTTTCTCCAAGGCACAGGGATGCTCATGATGCAGAGCCTCCCGTACGAGCTTGATCTCACCACATTGGCAGAAGAAAGCTCAGTGCACCCAGCTCTGCCCCACAGCAGCCTAGCTCCCTGGGGAAGCTGAGTCTCTGGAAATCACTGAGACTTCAAAAAATGGTGGATGATAACCTTAATTCACAGCCAGGAGGAACTGCAGCACTGATTTTAATGGAAACAGAATTAGATCAACTCCAGCTACTAGGGAAAATCTTCCCCAATAATTGTTTCCATAATGCAAATCTCTATGGCACCAGCCACCAGCACATTGTTAACCATTTCCATATAGGAGTGCGTTAAAATGGCAAAATCCCTGCAAGGGAGAAAGTGTTCTTTCCTCCTGGTACAGAGCAGTAAACAAGGAGGTGAGAGCTGAAGGGACTCACCCTTGGTGTCCCTGAACATTGTGGCAAACCAGCGCACTCTCAGCTCCATTCCCTGCCTCAGAGAGGAGCCAGCCCCTTACATTGTCCTCAGGGCCAGGCTGGGGAAATACAGAGCACATCATTAAAAAGGGAAGAATAGCTCCTACCTAATAACAACTCCCATCCCTTTTTTAAATGACTGGGGGATCAGGTGTGACACTGAAGCAATATAGATGGGAGGGGAAATAAAAAAACCCCACAACCCTAAAGTGGTGAAGATTAGCCAATTATACATTCAGGAAGCTGTGTTAATTAGAAGCTTTTCAAGAGAAGAGTTAAAGGACTTTGCAAACAGATGGAAACCGATTTTAACAAGCAGTGATAAGTCCCAGTGTTGGAGAGGCATCAGCAGTGCAACGTCCTCTGCTGGCATCTCCAGTTACTACGGGGGATGGCTCCAGCCGAGGCTGCACTACACCAGCGCCAGCAGCCACCCGCAACCGACCGAGTGCAAGCCAGCAATTAGTGTGATTGATTTTTTGGGGAATATTATGATATTAAAATGAAAAATCATGTAGCCGGGACTGGTAAAGAATTATTCCCCACATAATAGTCATAGCTCTTTGTGAGAGCCCAAAAGCACCTGGGTCATCTGACCACTCAGAAGTGGCCCATCATCAGTGGCTCAGGGAGGAGGAATTGATTTTTCTTTTTTCTTAACGACCATGTGTAACGCAGCAGCTTCATGCACTAGTCAACAGAGACCCAGGCTGTTTAAGAGGCTTTGATAATAGCTCACACCTGAAGCAGGGTTTTTTCTCAAGCAGAGGAAAGTTCAGAGCAGAGAGCGGAACAAGTCACAATTAATTTGCTTGTTCTTTATGTATGGTTATGGTTATCTCCTTTCCTGCTTAAGTCAGGGAAGCTTAGGACACGGATGTGGATTTGTTTACGAGCATCAAAATGGGTTCCTTTAAGTGTTACATGTGCCTTCTTAAAGAGGGCATGTGAAAGCCGCTTAAGAATTTAAAAAAAAAAAAACAACAAACCAACCAAGAGACTGACCAGAGCTGTTTTAGTTTATCCCCAAATGAACGCTAACTTTGAGGTAATTCTTGAGGTTTATTGCACTAACCAAGAAAACCAGGTCATGTAAAATGAAAGAGCCCATATTACCTGTGCAGGCAAAAGTGCTTTCTCAGCAGAGACTTGTTCACTCTGTGCTTGTCCTAGACCATTATTTTCACTTCCCTGAGATGTGCTTCACGAGGAATACTACAGGGAGCAGACATCACTTTTGGTGGATTGCACTGCACGGGGCTGTGAGTTGGAAACAAGGACTGCAAACACCAAGCTGTGACAGATGTAACACACGCTCCTCATCTTTAGGATGAAGGTCTGCAAAGTGGAGAAAAGTGCTCCTAAGAAGCATCAGAGGGAAAAAGCTGCCCAACGACCACAGGCATAGAAGATGGAGTCCCAGAGCCCAGCAACTGCTGACTGCCTGCCAATGCCCCAGCCTGTCCTTGCCAGCAGCTTGTTCATGTAGTGACACACCAGCAATAAGTGGACATGATTTTTGACACAATAAACCCCAGAGACCTGAGCGGGAGCTTCCAGACACCTCTGGGGCACAAGTGCAACTGGTCCAAGTAATAAACCTTGCAAAGGCCAAGCCTTGATGTGATGCTCAGGACACTGCACAAAGGCTGAGTGTGGTTACAGCATTTGCCATCTCCTATGGCAGCCAGGGTAAGACGGCTGGGCTTTGTCACTCCACGTCCCTTGGCACCCCATGCAGCGCACCCAGCTCCACCAACCTGTCTTATGGGTCTTGAGGGGTTACGAATGATGCATGGGGGCTCAGACCGTCAGCGCCCACAAGCACAAACTGGGGCCTGTCTTGAAGTTTAATCACTTCATGAAAATGAAACTTTCAATATTTCATTAGGATGTCTCCCATCTGTTAAACATCATCCCAGAGAGTTTGGTGACACTTTAAATGAATCTGTGAAGAGATGCGTTTGTTTTAGATGTAATTGGACAGCTGTTTTATTACAAATTAATGAACTATGACAATTAAAAAGTCCAGTTTTAGCAAACCATGTATTAACAATCACTCCTGACTAAAATCACAACTAAGCACATGCTAGAAAACTTTCACGACAATGACTGGAAGCAGAAGATGAAAAACCAGCGAGGTGCAACAGGACGAGAGGTGCCTCCAGGGCAGGCTCCCTGTGCCAGGCATGCGTTCCCCAGGCTGCCCCACAGCAACCAAACCACTCCACATGCCCACGCTACCACTCCACATCACTGCCATCTCCTCTGGCCCAAAGCCCCTTTTGGCCCACATCAGTTGTCAGGGTCTGCTCACACTCCTCCGACTTCCCAGCCCCTCTTCATGCTCATGTCCCCCCTCTCCCCCGGCCACGGGATGCCACGAGGGGATGGGGAGTGAGAGGAGACAGTGATGGCAGCAGGCTCAGAGGTAGAGATAATTGACCTCTTCGTGCTTGCAAAACATATTTCGGACTCCTTTTCCCCCTGCTCTGGGTCACTTCGGCCAAGGCTGTTTGTGCTAGAGGCATTGCACAGAATGGGATGCTCTCTGATGTAGGGCCACATCCTTCCTGGTTGCAAGGAGACAGCCCCACAGCCATGCTGAGCATCAGCAGCACCACAAAAAGCTGATCCTGAGCTGGGGAGTCCTGCATCTGTCCTTCCCACACTTTCCAGCTTAGAAGAGATTTCTGCATTTCAGCAGAACCCAGTGCCAAATACCAGAGGCCACAGAAAGCAGCTGTTGGAGTTTCCATAGGAGTTTCCCAGTTTGTATGGAACAGTTTTTAAGCAGTGAAGTCTTAGCCCTGAGAATTTCAGTGAAAAAGCTCCAAAGAGTTAAACGAAGACAGGTACATATGCCACGTGTGCAAATCACTTATCTCCTGCCATTAAAATAAATCTGTTCCCAATCATTGTGGCTTCCCAACAGCTGCCCCATCTTTCTCCACTTCGGCCCTCCATTGGGCCTTCTTTTCTGTGTTCATCCTCAGCAGCGTGTGATCCCTTTTAGCAGCCTTGAAAAGAAATGGTGAAAATCATTGCATGCATACATTTCCCACCACTAAATTTCCCCACTTTTGCACCACTTGCTTTGACACTCCACTGTCCTTTTTGATATTTTGCAGTGACAGAAGTTAATGCATTTCCTTGTTTTAGCAAATTTTCAGCATTTGGAGCTCTGATTAGCAGGAAAATTACACTGTAAATTGTTTATAGGTGCACTGGGACATGCAACTCAGGCTGGAGACCCTCCTTCCCCAGCAGTGGGACTGGAAGAAGCAAGTGTCACAGCTCTTGGTGGCCACGGTGGCACACAGGCTAGGCAGGCAGGACTGCAGGAGCCTCATGGCCCACGGATACAGGGCAGGACCAGGCACCATTGACATTGTCTGAGCTACTCTACAACCTTTGGACCGGCTTCTTGCTGAGATACCATAATACAGAGCATTGCACTGCACGGGTTTATGGCAAAGTGGGTCAGAAGGAACACATTAACCAGCAAGTTGTGCTTCCCCATGCCAATCTCTCCTCCAGAGAATGGAGTGACACAGATCCTGTGCAAACATTGCTTATACGGACTTATTCTCAAACATATCTGTCACCTAGGCGTTTATTTACAAAGAGAGCATACATAGATCATACATTAAGAGGATCAGTTCACTTCACCCAGAAACAATACTCACTTCTTTGCCTGTGATTACCATGGCCAAACAGCCCAGCAAGGTCAGTGCAATCATGATGTAGCAAACCTTTATCCTGACGCTGTTTCTTGCTGCGTCGAGGACCTCAGACCTGTGGAGGACAGAGCAGAGTTTCCATCCTGCAGCAGCATGTGTGAAATGAGATCATGGGGAGCTGGGTAATGAATCTGCAAGTCTTCCAGCAACTGCCTGTTAACGTACAATGTGTTTCAGCCTTCTCTTTCTGCAAGTGCTTAGAGGAGGATTCAAAAAATTAGCCTATGGGGGAAAGATTTAGCCACCCTCCCACACAGGTAGGGTATTGCTACTCCAAACAGTCATCAGCAACAACAGGAATAACAAATCCTGCTCTCCTGCCTTCTTTTATTGCATATGAGAGTGAACACCTGAAAAATGACAAGGACAGGAAAGTCTTTTCATCATGATAATGGAATTACGAGGGGCCCAGCTTTGGGTGTTGCAAGGCATGGGGTACTGCACAGCACCAGGAGACACCGGGGCTGTGCCACCAGGGTCAGGCAATGCCACCCTCAGTGGAATAAAAGCACACACATGACATTTTGGCTAAGACCAACAGAGAGTTTTCACACAGTGAAGAGGCACAGCAAGCGGTGACTGGGTCTGTGGCCACATCCCCATCCCAGCTGCACATGGTGCTTTGCAGCCCTGTCCCACTGCAGTGTAGCCCTCTACCAGGCAGCTGGCACCAGCCCCACAAGCATCTGCCTGCGGTGGGAGGCTGAGCCTGAGCTGGAGCAGACAACTGTGCTGTCCATCCAGAGCTGTCTTCCCAAGCAGCTGAACAGCCACAGCCATCGCTGGGAAATCTCCACCACCTTCCATGAGTGACTCACAACTTTTATCCGACAATTCATGCTTGCAAGAGACTGCAGCGTGGCAATGAGTCATTCATGAAATTGTATCGGGCCATGGATTTACTTACACCTGCAAGGGGTAGGCCAGCTGGAGGAGCCCCCAGGATGTCACAGGTCAGGAAGCATTAGGTCTCCAAAACTGAGTGACAATCCTTTAACAAAATACCTCGACAAGGAGGTGAAACCATAGCCCAGACATGAGGAACTCATTGCAGATGTCTGTCACCAAAACTGTGTATAGCCCCAGCTTCTTTTTAAAATTTACGCAGTATTATTAATTGTTAATCAATAAAAACTGGCAAAGCATGCAAAAATCCAAAGTGGATGATATTCTACCATGGTGACTTCTGAGTTACAAAGCTACTTGTCTTGCAAAAGACACTTCAGCTTAGTCTGAAATTTATGATATCTAAAAGAAGTGAATCCAGTTTACTTCACAGGGCATCACAAAAAGTTCATGTTCCCAAAAATTCAGATTATTTTTGGACACTAGTAGCAGCAGGCCCCGTCAGCATGATGGAGCACTAACCCTCACCATGTGAGCACAATTCTGGGTAATGCAGACCGGGGTCTCAATCTGTATGTTCACATCCAAAAGCATCATTCAGACAGGTCTACTTACGATACGTGCTTGGGAATGTCCTCCTCCTTTTTAAAGCGTCCTGCCCATACTAACACCTTTTTATCAAAATTTGTAGGCCTTCTGTCATTTTTGAAAACTTTGTAACCTGTAAGAGATTTTATAAAAGAAAACAATGAGTTAAGCTTGAAGAAGGGAAGAGGAAAAAAGCTGTCATTACAGGGGGAAAAGGATTGAAAGTTCAGAATGGCACTTTTCTGTTCTGTGAGAGGCAAATGTGCTTTCTAATGTCAAAAGGACTCAGCAGCTGGTGTGAGATGCTTTGTTACATTTGCAGCTTATTTCATTTTGCTTAATTTTTTTTTTGTTTAGGTAGGTTTTAAATTAAAAATCTCTTCTAACCTTCCTGATTAAGGAGGGAAAGGATGCAGGGCTGAAGTCACCCACGCCTGCAGCATGCTCTCACCCTGCTAGCATCTTGCTTTTAAATGGCCCAACTAGTGAGTTAAGCAAACTGCCAGCAGCACTAATAACTCCTCGACAGCATCCGTTCTAAAAGTGCTGATGGAGAGAGGAGGTCTGTTAAAATACAGCCTGGTGGGAGGCTGGCAGTCATTCTCATGCAAGCTGGGTACCACATTACTGTACTCTAATGATGATACATTACACCCCACCAGACTACCACAGTGATGCCATTAGCATGCTGTCACCGCGAGCACAATGAGGAAGGGACTCTGGCTCCTCTTGATGGAAACAAGCCCAATGACAGGCCACGACAAAGGCAGTGGCAGGGAGACCCTGCAAAAATAGGGTAAGCAACAGCTAGCTCAAATCCTGGCTTTTGCATTGTACAGGTGGTCATCACGAGGTAGCTGGGACTGCTCACACACCCAGGTAGGTGCACCCAATATGCTAGGTTACAGTGCCCTGTGCTTGCAAATGTGGGACTGGTGTTTAGAAATGTCCTGTGGGTGACCAGGGCATGCAGGAAGGGATGGACATGGAGATGCCCACAGTCTCGGTGTCCTGCACTCTCTGGCTATGGCTGGATTGCTGGTGCTTGGCTGAAAGGAAATCACTGCCGCTACAGAACAGGGCACAGGATGCCTCTCTTCCTTCCTGAGTTGAGATGGTGAAATTACATTAAGTGCCTTGGCCCCAGACCTGCTCATGCACGCCAGGACTTGTGAATGGCTGAAAAATCCCAGGTGTAAATCTTGGCACCCAGACCCCCAGGTAAATTTAATCTCCTATTTCTCTTACAGAGTGCCAGTGAGACCAGGAGAGCTACATCTGAAATACCAGCAAGTGTCTGAATCAGTTCTGCAGCAAGCAGTAGGATGGATCACTAAAAGGACAGGTTCCATCCCAGGAAAGACAAGGGCAAAGCCCCACGCTGGAGACCCACAGCCATCCCACGGGAGCACAGGCAGCCCCATGCAGCCCAGCCTCGCTAGGGTGAGGAGTCTGCAAAGGCATGACGAAGGAGGTGGTGGTACAGATTAAAAAGAGAAACTATCTGCATGCCAGGGAGCTTGTCCATGTGGGAGCAGTCCATGCCTGCTGCCTGCCAGGTAAGCCAGGGCACTGCCTGCCACAAGCACGCACAGTTGTAAATGCAACCTGGCAGGGAGCACCGGAGGGAGCAGAGGGGTGCAAGTCTGCCACTTGCACCAGCCGTGCACACGCGGGGACATGCACCGGTCCTCCTCTGGAAACCTGGCAGCTGCATACAAGGAGGAACGTTTATTTATTTATTTTAATTAACAGATTCCCTGACATGAAGTATCAGTTTGTATTTGCTGCCATAGGAGGAGGACTATTTAACGCAAAAAACTTTATCCCTGTGCACTGTGCTAGTCAGAGCTCCCAATTTGCTCTGTGTCTCGGGAGCATTTGTAACCCCAGGAGACGCAGCACTGCAGTAACACAGCCACAGACAAGAACAAGGATCATTTTCTCGCCCTTCCCTGCAAATACCCTTTCCCCTCCGTGCTGCAGCATGAAACAGCAACCAAAGACTTCTACCCACCTGGATTAGCTGTCTGCAAAGCCGCATCCTGAGCGCCCTTTGCTTTGTCGCCGATGGCTCTGGCGGGGTGCACTGGCCGAGCCACCTGCCGCCACAGCCTGGGGCTGCGCCCCAGCAGCCTCCCCAGCATCCTGCCCCGGCCGGCACCGGGCCACTGCCTCCCCACTGGCCTAGGAGCACGCAGGGGGACCAGCAGAAGCCCAGAAGGCTGCTTCTAGGAGTTATCAACTTAAAACTACCCCTTCCTGTAAGAAGGGAGTAGCATGCATTTCCACCCTGGCTGCCAACAGTTTTTGCTTGCGTCACGATGACTAGTTAAATTTATCGCCCGTGTTTACCAAAACGACACACCTTCCAAGCTAGGTGGGCAGAGATCACTGCTGCAGCAGCTCACGCCCAGCCCGGGTTCTGCCCCAGGCTTTGCATCCCAAGGAGCTGCTCAGGAGAGCAATGGGTATTTACATTATTTTCTCAGTCCTTACTATGGCAGGACTGAAATAAGACAGTGTGCTATATTTCCCCAAAGATAGGCTTAGTGACTGCTAATTATCACAGCCAGTTAGAGTTCTTAATTTTTCTCAGCTAAAAAATAATCTTGCAAATCAGTTGTGTTAGTCTTTTTGAAGAGGAGCGGCATTTCCCCTATCTCAGAATAAATGTGGTTTGGCAGAAGAAAACTAGGGCCTATGTTCGTGGCTATAAATGCAGATGGGGAGTCCATCTCACATCCAGACTGCAAACTTCCCTGGCAAAGAAATATATTTCAGCTATATATTTCAGTTTTAAATCAGTAAACTAAGAAATTATGTCACAAGCCTCAGGTGATGTAGTATTTGTCAGTCAGTAAAATTGTCATTGAAACGTAGCAGTACCTATAAAGTATTTGCCCTCTTTGAATTCAATCTCCACAAAGTCTAGATAGTGCTGGATGTTTTCCATAACATCAGCTGTTCTAACCAGAGAATGAACCAAAACCAATGCTATTTTGTCACTTTGCTATTTCTCCTGCGTTTTGCACAGAATTCTCCCTCATGGGTCAGGAAATGGAAATGCAAAATACTTGTCTCATTTGGAGCGGTGGGGTATTTACTGTCCTTAGACGTACAAGGCTCTAAAGCTGATTTACAATTAAGGAAAAAAGTTCCATTTGAAAGGGAAGAAGCAATTGCCGAAAGGAAAATTTTCAGAACTGTTTAGTAATACTATCAAATGCAATATTGCAGATAATCAAAGTGTGTCTAATAGCAAGGGGAGGAACTGCAAGGGAATAGAGCTCGGGATGCTGGCAAGGATATTTTTTTTTAAGGGCTGAGAGGATGAAAGATGTGAGACAGATCCAGCTCCTGGCCCCAAGGAAAAACTCTACTGTTTATAGAGACATTTATATTTTTTGAGAACACGAAGTTATTGATACTGAGGAAAGAAGAAACTCAACATGGTTTTTCCTCTTTCATGAAAGCTCCACAATACCTCCGGACATAACACAATATGTTTAGCTTAATTTGCTTATAATTTGGTAAAGCAAATTAGATCCATTTCCAGATTAGGAACCCATACAGAAAATAAACGGTTGTTTGAGCTTCCAGCTGCAAACAAGCAGAAATCAGTGGTTGTGATTATGCTGGAATAAGCAGAAGGGAAACCTGGAAAAGTCACTGAGGATATTTGTGTCCTGCTCAGGATTTCCCTGGGGGAAGATGGGTGTGAGGAAGAGGAAAGGTGCATTTGTAGCATGAAGTTTACAGGGCTCAGCACCTCTGAGCATCCCCGCAGGCCCCCTTCTCACCTTGCAGAGATGCTGCTGAGTGGAAAAGAAGCATTGTACACATGGACATCCCTCGCTCCCCAAGCCGGGTGGGCAGGAGGGTCTGGGGGGCAGTGGGTGGGACGTGCTGTCGCAACGCTCGTGTTGCACTTGGAGCCGCCCGACCCCACAGGGGCTCTGGCTGTGCAGAGCATTTTCACTTTAACAGGCACTCTCCAAAATGTTTATTGCAAAAGTGACTGTCTTTACATCGTGTCTGAATATGGATTTGAAGATAATAAAAGAACATTTTTATTTTATCTCTTAGTTTCTCAAATGTGGAGAAAATCGTGGGGTTTTCAGGCCTCCAGTGCTTATCCACTGAGGGGTTGCCAATTGTTTCCTCTAGAAGACACACCAGCTAACAGCTGTATTAATCACATCTGCTGTGATCAAAAAAGCACTTCAGGATTTATTATGCCAGCATTTAGAAGTGCAAAGACACAGAGAGCCTCATGAAACCCCAAAGGCAGTTACTTGTTCCTGAATTTTACTTGTTTCTTTGGCACCGTGAATGCTTAATGCTGGGGTGAGTTTTACTGCAGTGCATGAAAGCTAGTAAAAAGCTATATACACCACTGCGTTAGGAAATCAAGCTTTCCCTTGTGTACTGTGGTTCTCTCTCTGGCCCAGAGCATCTTGAATCCCTTCCTGAACAGCAGAGAGATGCAGAAGGCTCTGAGACCAAGGTAGCCTTGTGTGCAGCCTGATGGCCTTAGTCCTCCTTAGAGAGGAGGACTAAGAGAGAGGAGGACAAAACATGTGCCCAGCCCAGTACATGCACATCCCCCCCCCCCCCCCCCCCCGC